CCTGGAGGCGGCAGCAACGAAGCAGATGAAACACGGGGAGCAAGGCCAGCAGCGCTGGCCTGGCCCCCCCTGTCCTGCTCGCTGCAGGTGGCAACGATGGAGCAGAGAAGGAGAGGCAAGGCAACCAGAGCTGGCCTCACCCCCCCCCCCCCCCCCCCCGCAGGTGACAGTGGCTGGGGCGAGGAGTGGGGGAGAGTGAGGTCAGAATGCCACGGGGGGCTGAGGCCACTGGCGCTGGCCAAGGCCCTCCCCTCCCCACTTCCATTGCCGCGGTCCTATACCAGCCAAGGAGACTAAGACCTGGTTGTCCTAAACTAAAAGCAAGTTTATTGAACCATAACAGATACAATTCTGATTAAAATTGAAGCAGCATTAGCAGTTAAAAATTTGAGGTTTGTAGCTAGTCAAAGCAGATACTCACCACTGTGTAATGTTAAAAATGCAATTTCACTGGTAAATCAAGCCGTGAAGTCTTGTCCAGGGCTCCTGGCTCCCACATCTGATGTTGAGACAGGATCTTGAATCAGTGACAGGATCTCTTCGGGTAGAGGTGCCATTGGTCCCATATCAGATCAGCACCAACATATGGAACGGCAATCAGCTTTTTTTGGCTAATGTGACTGATAATGCCTCCAACAAATGCCCCGTGGATGCACGCAGCCACAACGCAGCACACAGGTGGCCAGGAGTACAGCACGGCACCACGGAGAGCAGCCAAGTCCAGCTAGTAAGTCTGTTGTGAGGGAAGCAGCATCGGGGAGGCAGATTGAGGCCCCTGCAGTGGGGGAGGGACTGGGGCCAGGGTAGGGGCAGAGGCAGGAGCTGCACAGCCAGGGTGAGGTGCGGGATGGAGACACAAGTGGCTTGTCCAGGGGACGTGGGGGGGTGGGCGCTCCCACCACTGCACGCATCCTGGGAGGGCATGGAGGGGTTGTGCCACCAGATCTGCACACGGGGTAAGGGTGGGCTATCGCTGTGGGCTGGAGCCAGGGCTGCACTGGGCTCTTCCCAGTGGGGGGCTGGGTCGGGGCTGCGCTCAGGATGGGCAGCAACAATGCTGGAAGGGGGGGCTATGGAGAGCTATGGTGAATTTTGGGGTGTCTGCAGCCCCTCCCACAGCCCCCCTTCCAACGCCACCACCGCTTACCCTGAGCGCAATCCTGGCCCAACTCCCCACTGGGAAGAGCCCAGCGCAGCCCTGACCCCAGCCCACAGTGGCATCCTGCCCTTGCCCCAGGTGCAGATTCAGGAGCATATCCTCCCCACCCCGCATGCCCTCCTGGGGTGTGCGTAGCAGTGGGAGCCGCCCCCCTACCATGATCCCTGGACAAGCCACTCGCGGCTGTGTCCCACACCCCTCCCCAGCTGTGCAGTGCCTGCCTCTGCCCCAGGCCCAGTCCCACTCCCTTCCTCACTGTGGGGGCTCGATCTGCCCCAGCTGCATATCGGCAATCAGATTGGCCAATATGGCGTGTTAAAATTCAGCCATCAGTATCGGCCCAAAAAATCTCTGTCGGTGCACCCCCATCTTCAGGCTTTTTTCAGGAGTGTTCCGAAGGGAACGCTCTCACCTCCTCCTAATGTATAATAGTAATGTTGCTTCTCTTTGCCAAGTATGGTTACCTTTAACTGAAATTTTCAATTCTGAGGTAATCTTTTCATTCTTAGGTGGGGGTAGGTTTTCCTCTGCCTGTTTCTCTTTTGCCCAAGTTTTTATTCAATTTAGTTAGCCAACTTCCTGACTCGTTTTAAGTCAGGGACTGTATTTTTCCATCAGCTCCTTTCATTGAGTGCAGGTTTTGACCACAATTCAAGCTAAGCATACAGGTTGAGCTGAGCACAAAGGTCATACCTAGGCCTGAAGGCCTCTGGGTCCCAACATTGTGTCCCTATGGTGCTGTTATTACTGCGCCATCATTTAGTACTTCCTTTAGAAAGTACTAAATGACTGCGCAGTAACAGCTGTTACCGTGCCATGCTGGTGGCACACATTTATATTTAGCTACTACATTGCCATAGCAACACACTATGGTAAGGAAATGCATCACTATGCCAACATAGCTGCAGCATCATGGTTTGTGCCCACTGGAGCTATGTCGCTATAGTGTGTTGCTACAGTGTCATAACATCTCATGTCGGTGTGCCCCCTGAGAAATTTTGAAAAAGTTTTTTTGTCAAGTAAGAGTTTGGCCATAGAAATAAAATTACTAAAATTGTGGCTTCAGTAGAAACCATCATTTTTTATTTTCACATACATTACTTTGTTTCTCCACAGAAGTTATGAATTAATTTTTGTATAACAGAAGCAGTTACCACAACTAAAATGATGTGTTCTGTGTCATACCCAGTTGTTTTCACTTGTTTTAATTTTCTGAAATTTTCACCTTTAAAGATAAAATTTTCTGTGCTTGATCCCTGCCTGAAAATGTCTTTTCCTTTTTTCACATTCAGCACAAATGATTCAGTCCTTTGAGAAGAAAAGTATATTTTGTTATCAACAAATTCTTGTGATTTGGTTGTCAAATAGCAGTGCAGTTCAAAGAAGTGAGATTTTTAACTTGAAACTTTTCATGAAAATAGCTGTCATTGAGGTATACTGCATTGTCTTGAGTTACACAAATGTAATTTTTAATTGTTGAAAAATAGTGTGCACATAATTAGATGTTTGGAGGTTTTGAAAATTTGAAAAACAATCTAAGAAATTTGGGTCTAAAAGGTAATTTTATTTTTTGCTTAAAGTAGAAGATACTGAAAATAGAGGATTAGAAAAAATAGCACGTCAAGACTTGACCCCACTTTGGGCAAAATTTTCAAAGGTATTTAGACACTTTTCTGCATCTGTGGGTGCCCAGATATATTTGAAAACCCTTTTGTTAAGCATGTGAGCCAATAGAGCAACAGATCTGCAGAGTTGGGACCTTAATCATAACTATATCATTGGGAGTAGGATGCTATAATAAATTCAGGACTTTTTATTCATCTTACACCTTGCTCCACATTGCAGTTTTTGTTGCAATTGAAAACAGATTTTAAACCTCCTCCCCCATGCAACAGAGTTTGTACCTTTTTGTGGGCTTATAAATTGAATTACTATTTGAAGTATGCAAAGTATTTTGAAGGCCCGTAGAGATTAAATTGCATTCTACCTCCTTTTTGTTCGCTGAATCAGAGGCTGGTTAAGATGGTAAAGGCTGGGCTTTCTTGTGATGTCTTTTATTGAACCAACTGTCAGGGCCATCCTTAAGGGAAGATGGGGGGGGGGAATTGGGGTGACCGCCCCAGGCCCCACAGAGCCAGGTGGAGTGGCTATGGTGACCA